ACATTCACGTTTCCATTTTGATTACAACAAAGGGGGAATAAACGAAGAAAGTGCCGACAACTAAAGTTTGAACTATAATTGGTGGTGAAAACATTCAAAAAATGGGATTCGACATGTTAAAGGTATAAATCTTTCTTACATTAGTCACTCATACATTTAATTTGGTTGGTGAGAGAGCAAAAATCCAACAAATGTTTAATTTTTCTTTAATCAAAGAAATTATAAATTATGATTGATGATTACCTATTTGAAGACCAAAACTTGTTCAACAAAAAGAAGAGAGGTTTGTTGCAATGGGAAGATGAAGCAATTGAGAAGAATCTGAGGGACGAAGTCAAGTTTATACAAAGAGAATGAAATACTCTATTGAGAAAAATTATATTGTGAACTTCAATGGGTTTAAAATTTTGATAACTTTTTTATAAAAGTATGATTATGTTTTTTGTCAAAGACAATTCATTCAGAAGTTTATGTTTTTTTACAGGTGTCATCCAATTAAAAATCCATCAAACCAAAAGAGGTAACATAGAGAAATAAATCTGATAATTTGACATTATAATAAACAAATAAACGAATAAACGAATAAACGAATGCACATTGCTATTTTTTGCATTAATACAAAGATACTTAAATTTCATTAAATTGAAAATATGACACTATAATAAAAAGGGAATGAGTTTACTTAATGGCAGTATGTACTCCTTCTTCAACCAATGAACAAATGAATAAAGTCAAAACATTGATTTGAATGATATACCTTACAACAACCTAGACAACTTTAATGAATGATTCCCCAGAGTATCTTTATCCATAATAATGATAATTAACCAAAAATCTTCAAACGCTAATAAAGAAAATGGGATTTAATCAACGTGAATAAACCAGATAATCAAGATTATGAAGCCAATCAATTAACTTCGGTATTGATCAAGTGAGATTTAATAAATATGAATGACCTGATAATCAAGATTATCTAACCAATCAAAATATCTTTGTTTTCCTATGTTCCTAAAATCAAATGGTAACAACACATGATAATTTTTTTTTGTTTGTTGCTACCATCACTTCACCTGTATTCACACCAATATTAGAATATAAATCACAACAAATCACAGTGCAAATTATATTTTTCCGTCTTTTGGTTGAACAGTATAAAAGTAGCAGCAAGCATTGAATAATTAAATAAATAAACGGACTAAGTCGTTTTTTATGTTTTAATCCATGAGCTACATGATAAGTTTTACCGGGCATTCAACCATATCAAAGCACTAATCTATAACAAAAAAAAAATACAAAAAAAATACAAAAAAATCTCATCCTCAAAATCAATCCTAAAATATGAAATAAATTATCCTCACTCTTAGCTGCAATTATGCATATAATATAATTTATTATCACTGAATTTTCTTTCTATAAATTTCACTTTGGATTCAGACAAATGACCATAGAGTAAGGATAATACCTCAACAATGGACTCATTTCCCAAATCATTAAGATCCACAAATTCATTCCTAGAAAATATAAAAATTAAATTCTCATCCTCAAAATCAATCCTTGAAAGATACAGAAACACAACTACATTATGAGATTGAATACATTTTGATTAAGGATGAAAAGTAATAACCTCTTAACAGATAAACAATCTTTGAAAACATGTATGAATTGCTCAGGCAGCTTGAAGTGACTTAGTTTGCCTTCGAAATTGTCAAGCATTTCACCTGCATGAAACACCATCTTTTGATTAGATTACACAAGAATATAGGAAGTAAAGAGCATTTTACTGTTGACATGTGAGCACTTCCCACAAAAAATTGGACTTATTGATGAAATAGTATAAGTTCGTGTTACCCTTCTTAATAAGAGTAAAGGTTAAAAAGAAATTAACTAAAACCTTATTACCTTCGAACAACCATGGTGATTTTTCCAACATCCTCACCATGTTGCATTATCTTCTGATCCGAGCCTGCATAGATTACTCAAAATCAGGAGCAACAGTTGAATACCACTGAATCAACCGTTCAATCATAATCTCATAATACTCATTTGATAGTTTTAACTGTAAAAACTCTGACTTTTCTCTCAAACATTTCATCAAACAAATTATGTGCATCAGAGAAACATGCAAGAGAACTTACAATACTAGGAAAAGGGTCACTAAAAACGAATGTGTACACATTATTTTAACCGATGGTGGTGTGGGAAGATAAAAGACGCTCCGATCTTCTTCCAGATAAAGGCTTCGATAGACTCTAGGTTGTGGTGGTGGTCGTCTCCTTTAAAGTGATTTAGGCCTGGGGAAACTGCATGTCGTTTTAAATATAAACAATATCTCCAATATTTGGGGATTTGATGTATTTTAAAATTTGAAGCACTGATTTGGTTTCCAAAACTATTAGAGAAATTGTAGAAGAAACGGTTGAACAATAGAACGTTTCCAAATTTCTTGCTATTTTTTTTTGGATACTATCGATTTGAAACTGCTGAAAAGAAGGAGTATATGTTTGACTGTAAGGGCAAATGCAGAATTTCACAAAGACGTTTTGAGCGGGAAAATTAGATTGGGGAGGGGCTTAGCAATTGCCACGTGGCAATAGAGGTACTTGTTTATTAGGATTAGGATATATATATATATATATATATATATATATATATATATATATATATATATATATATATATATATATATATATATAGAAAGAGAGAGAGATAGGTTCAGGTGTTTAAAGTAAGTATTGTGTTATTGTATGCATAAATGTGGGCCAATCAAAATTTAAAATAAAAATAAATAATTAAATAAATAAATAAGGGTAAATAGGTAATTTGATAATTACTTTCCACAGATAATATCCTATAATTAAGGTAACAATTGACTTAGTTTTCTCCACCCATCGTCTTTTAAAACCGTAACCCTAATCAACCCTTTTTGACAACGACCCCACGGACACTCTCTGTAATGCTCTTACTTGAAGTGCTAGAACAAGCGGCAAAGACAGAAACCTTAGCAACTGAATCGATGCACCCGCCTCATTCAATTACCGGTGTTGGATGACTTCGAAGAGGCGGCGTCGACACCAGCAGTCAGCAGACGCAGCACAGCACAGCAGGGCGCAGGCGGCAGCAAACCTTCAATCTTCTCTCTGTCTTCTCTTCTGTTCTTCTTTCGATGGGTGCTGGAGGGCTGGCTTCCATCGTGTTTGGATTGATTGCCGATGCCTTCTGTGGCGCTAGCTTCAATGCGATCGGTACAATTGTGTTTAGTATCGCCGGTGCCGGTGGCGACGATGATACACTCATGTCCACCGCCGTCCGCTTTCCTGCTCAGGTAATTTAACCAAAAATTACTTTTCATAGTCGTGATTTTTGACGAATTAAGGGTTTGCAATTCCCCAAATTGTTAGGTTACAGTTGAAATTGCGAAAACAGATCGTTACATTCAACTATGAATAGTGCAGAATTGGATCAGTATTTGTTGATTATTGGTGTTAAACATGTAAAAATAGTGTTTGGTTTCTGAATTGTTGACAGGCGATTGGTGCAGCTGGTGGTGTGATGTCTCTTTTGGAGTTGATGCCATTAGAGTACAAACATCTGCTAGAAGGACCTACTCAAAAAGTAGATTTGCATACTGGAGCCATTGCTGAGGGAGTTTTGACTTTCGTTATCACTTTTGTTGTTCTCTTGATCATCATCAAGGGTCCTAACAGCTTGTTCTTGAAGAATTGGATGCTTTCCATGGCAACTATGGTGGTGATTCTTGTTGGTTCAAGCTACACAGGTCCTTCAATGAATCCTGCAAATGTAAGTATTACAAAACTCTTTCAGTTTATAGTTAACAGAGTTCCTTGATCCCCATATCTGATCTTTGGCAAGATTTATAATTCTTTTCACCACCTGTATTTTGGATTGCAACATGAGGCCTTGAATCTGTGCAAGAGTATGATGAGGAGAGGGGAATGCCCTCCACTTATGGTTGTTTTTGATCCTGTAGAAGGGTAAGTGGGTTTTTGTGCCTAAACCTTTGGTGTTCTTGATATTAATATATATATATATATATATATATATATATATATATATATATATATATATATATATATATATATATATATATATATATATATATATATATATATATATGTTATTGTTGCAGATTCACCGTAGAAGCTGATAAATGTATCAAAGACTGGACAATAATCACTGAATATGTTGGAGATGTTGATTACTTACAGAGCCGGGAAAATGATGATGAAATCATAAATTCCAATTCTGTTGGAATGGAATGACGAATTCCAATTCTGTTGGAATCACAGAAGTTGATGCTTGAAGAACGGACCACAAAACTGAAACGGACCACATTATTCTTTTAGAATGTATTAGTCGTTGTTAGATTTTGATGTATTCTTTCCGGTTTTGATTGTTTTTTAGTTTTATTCTTTAACTTTAAATGTAATTATTAACAATTTTTACCCGTATTCTATAAGAAATAATGTATTTTTTGTTTTTATTCTTCTAGTGATTGTTCAAGAATTTGTTATTCTACAAGAAGTTTTTAAATTCATGATCAAGAAATAGGTTCAAGAATATTTTTATTATTTATGGTTCAAGAATATTTTTAATTTTGAATATACTCATAAACATATTCTGTCAGAATGTCCGAATTAAAATAATTATAATTCTTAAAATCGGATTTTTAAAATTAATAGAATCTATGATCCCTTAAAAAATGCAATTTTCATTTATTAAGTCTATATTAATTGATTGAATTACCCTTATAATTAATTAAGATGATATTTTTCAATTATATTTAATTCAATAATATATATTAATCACTTTCTTAAAATATGTAAATTTGATTGGCTCACATTTATGCATACAATAACACAATAGATACTCTAAACAAAATAAACTATATATATATATATATATATATATATATATATATATATATATATATATATATATATATATATATATATATATATATAGTTTATTGGCTATGAAGATGGTAAAAAGAGCAATGGCTCCCAACCCAAATCAGCTTCCTGTGATAACCTTCAATACAAAAACCTTAAACCGTAGCAATGGTGCTTGGCAATCAACGTCTCACGCCCTGCGGGGAGCCCTCGAGAACTATGGCTGTTTCATCCTGGCCACCGATAAAGTCTCTTCGGATCTACGTGACACCATGTTAGAGCTCGCTAAGGATTTGTTTCATCTACCTATGGAAACGAAGGTGAAGAACACTTCTGATCTCCTTGGTTTCGGATACGGGAAGTATGCATCTATGCCTCTTTGGGAGTACTTTGGCATCGAAGGTGGAGCCACCATTGAAGGCACCCAAAGCTTTACTGATCTTCTCTTTCCTTCAGGCCACAAAGTCTTCTGGTAACCAAAAACTGATCCATTATTTGCTATTGGGTAATTTAAAATAGTTATTTTAAGTCAAGAAACGGGCTAAAAGCGAAACCATTACTGTCGAGATTGATTTGACAAAAGTTCTGATTTTGATTATTTTTCATTCTAAATATACTGATTTCCGATGATTATTTGATTTCTATTTTTTCACTGTAGCGAGACTGCATTCCAGTACATGAAACTGTTATCAGAAATCGATCATTGCGTGATGAGAATGGTGTTTGATAGCTACGGGGTTGACGCCAAGGAATGTGACCGTATGATTGACTCTACGTTGTACTTGTCTAGATTCATGAAGTATCGGTCACCCCGTGAGGGAGAAGGCATTATGGGTCTTTTCCCTCACTCCGACAAGAGTTTCTTAGCAGTTTTAGACGACGACGTCAAAGGATTAGAGATCAAGATGAAAAATGGAGAGTGGATATATCCTGAGCCCTCTCCATCAACGTTCATTGTCTTAGCCGGAGAACCCTTCATGGTAATACTCCGACCAGTTTCAACCCACCGGTCCTACGCATTTGCAATTCTAATACGCTTTAAGTTGTGGTATGAAATAGGCATGGAGTAACGGGAGGATTCATGCGCCAGTGCATCAAGTGGCGATGAGAACATCGGAGAAAGAAGTTAGGAATTCGTTGGGGCTATTTTCGTTTATGAGGGCGACAGTGGAGGTGCCTGAGAAATTGGTGGACGATGAAGAACACTATTTGCAATTCATGCCTTTTAATCAAATTGAATTCTTAAAGTATGTGACCACGGAGGAGGGAAAGGCATCCAAATGCGCGATCAAATCCTACTGTGGCGTTACTAGCGCCGGCGCTGACTAGTGACTGGTTAGGGTGTTATGATGTTATCTGTTGTTGGTAAGTTGTTTGCATGTAAAATATAAGTATGTTATAATAACTGGGATTTATTATTAAACTTATAGAAGGATGACCTGCTAATAAACAAATGGTAAACAAAATAGAAAAAAAGGGAAAAAAAACAAACACATCATCATGCCAAATTTTTATGTCATATCATCAAATGGTAAGGATGTGTGAAAAAAAGGACCCAAATTTATCAATGTAAATGCAGTAAAGACTGTTTTTAAGATCTATTAATGTTTAATATTATTTGTCAAAGAAATATCTAGATTAATGTTGAAAGCTTTCCATACAAGATCGATTGTTTTCAAGGATGCACGAAATAAAATTATCAGAATCAATGTATTACGAAATAATGAAATCAGAAATTTGAAATCAAAAAACAAAAATTGATATTGGAAATCGGAAAGCTACATGAAAAAACCAGAATTGATTCATAGAGTCCTTCGATCGATGGTCGTAAGAAGCCCAAAGTGATGATTATTCCAAAAGAACCGTGCGTCCCTTAGTCTTCCCGGTTGATTTTGTTTTCACTCAATTTTCTTTTATTATTCTGTTCACCCGCTATACATGATATATATAAGATTTTTTTTCCCGCTATACTAACATAATAAGGTGTATAAAAATGAGATCCAAAATTTTGGAGGCTCTAGCCCATCGCCCAAAGTGTCTCATCCATTGGCACGACATTAGGAACACCCAGATTTCTTTAGTTGGTTATTTTTATTAATTTATTTCGGGAGCATAAGGAATTAAAATATATGTGGTTTAAATATCATAATAATAGTTGTATTATCAAAAAATAAGAATCACAATACTGATAGATTATTTTATTTTATTTTATTATATATATTTTTTGATAATTAACTAAATTATTGTAATGTGTATACACTTTTACATTTAAAATATATTCCCTATTTTAACTCACCCAAAAATACGTCCAATGTGTATGGGATCCGCCAACAGTACACGTTTTTAACAATAGACCCTTAAAAAGCACTTGTAAAAACATTGAGGAGTGAATATTAATCTTGAAGATGCCAGACAATTAATCTAGGGAAAATGATTTGCGATGATAATTATCTTTTCGTCTTGTTCATATTTAGGTAACTTAAATTTTTTTTGTACACATTTGACCATTTAACTTGTTAAATGTGTTCAAATATTACCATTGTCACCTGCTATAAATGGTCAAATGTATACAAAAAGAAAATTGTTTAAATGTGAATATTTTTTTTATTTCAAATTTCTTGAAATTTTTTATAATTTCTTACAACATTTTTATGATATTTTTTTCCTACGGATTTTCTAATACAATGTTTTAAATCTTTGTTTATAATTTTTTTGAACTTTTTTTATTCTTTCATATAATTTTAATACAACTGTTTTTAAACCAAATATTTTATAAATGTTTTATATTTTTCTTACAAGTATTTAACTTGTTTATTTTTTTTCTTTTTTTTATTTTTTTTACATTTACATACAATTGTTTTATAACTTTCATACATTTATTTTTAAACTTTCTTTTACAACATTTTTAAAGTGTTTCACAGATTTTGTATGATAGTTTAATACTTTTTAATAACATTTTAAAATACTTTTGTTAAATACTAGTTTAAAACGTTGTATTAAAAAATTAAAAGTTTATAAACTTCTAATTAAAAATTATTAAAAAGTTGAAATAATTTTAAAACATTTACATTATATAGATTTTTTTTTGTTTTTTATTTGTTTTTTATTTGTTAAGTAATATTTTCTTTTTATTTTTTTAAAAGACCCTCCATACTTATCGTTACATATTTAATTTATTTAATTTTATTATTAGATACTATTTACTTTAAAAATATTGTATATGCTTAAAAACAAAAGAAAAAAAGTTCTAAGAGACTATATAAAATATTTCACAAAACAGAAACATATTTATTAATTTAAAAGTAAAGTTTAAAATTGATCAATATTTAATAAATATTTAGGAAATTATGGATATTTTAAAAATAACGTTTGAAAAAAATAATACAAACAAATATGAAAAATAAAATCGCTATTAAAAGTGAGGAAAATGACTTATCAGGGTAATTACATTTTCGTCTTGTTCACGTTTAGGTAACTTCATTTTTTTTGTACACATTTAACCAATTAACTTGTTAATTTGTTCACATATTAGCATTGTCACCTATTATAGCCGGTGACATTGCCAATATGTGAACACATATAACAAGTTAAATGGTCAAATGTGTACAAAAATAGAAAAGTTACCCTAAATGTGAACAAATCAATAAAGATGATTACCCTCGTAAGTCATTTTCCCCTTTGATAAATATCATGTTTGGATTCAAACGTTTAATATGGTAGCAAGGCTCGATCATACAAGGGAGACGGTGAAATGTTTGAATGATGGATGATTGTTTGATATAGGAAGTTTTTTTTTTTTTTTTTTTTTTTTTTTTTTTTTTTTGTTTTTTGTTTTTGTTTTTGTTTTTGTTTTGTTTTTTTTTTTTTTGCGAACATTCTGATCTATATAGCATGACATGCTTTTTATGTAACAACCTGAATTTTCTAACATCTAATGTAGTGAGATATATCAGAGTTTTGTATAACAAATGCAAAATTCTATACAAACTAAAACCTTTACATCCTAAGAAAAATCACGGGTTTACAATAAAATCTATCTATTAATTGAACAACAAGGAAAGTACACAAATAGCATCGTACTATCTATATCTTTTCCTTGTGCTTCTGGCTTCTCCTCTGGTACAACGACTTCTGCTACATGAACTTGTAAAACGTAAAATCTCTACTACATCAGACAAACATGTCCGGTGAGTTATTCTTTCTACCATTTCTTATCTTTATCTTCATTTTCTTTCTCATACTCTATCATTTAACTCTTTTTTTCATATCATTTGTAACGTCCCATTTTCACAACCGTAAAGTTTCATTTTTATTAGAGTAAAACTTCGCAATTATAAATCCATTATTAATAAAAACGTTTATTCCAACATACATTATTGAAAATCAGAGTAATATTAAATCGCGAAATCTTCATTGCTGCTGATGAATGTGTACAGTCACGCATTCGTCTACCCATGATAACCGATGATACCTCAAACAATAAAAAACTGGGTAAACATAAAGCTTAGTGAGTTCCCCCCCCCCCCCCCCAAAAAAAAATACTCCATACAATAAACATACAAGCATGCATAAGAGCCCACAATCATCAGATTGGAATGCCCAGGTCCAATCAGTCCGCGGACTAGAATGCAAACATGCAACGGGTCCAATCAGCCATTGGGCTGGAATACCCATGGTTTGTTGTCCTACCATCTCAACCCAACCGCTCTTCCTAAGCCTCCGTGCCTACTGCTTACATCCGACCCGCATCGGGTATATTGACCTACAGGACAAAGCAAGACCGCCTCAACCCACAACCACCATATATCGACATATAAAAAATCAACGATCAAGTAGGCATATCATACAAGCAAACATCAAATATACAACTCACTACCGCCTACTAGTTCTCTCACAACACATTGTCCCGCTACCACCTAACCTCTATGAAATATATAAACATAAGTAGTGAGATAGCTACCCGGACATATGATCCTACTCTAGAGCCACAACCAAAAAACGAACATGCAAGAAAGCCTAGATCAAGAGTTCTCAGGCTATCCTACATGACTACATATAACCCATAGGGCACTCCACTAGATGATAACCAATATACCACTACTACACCATCCTATCATATAAGGATATATACATAGATCTATCAGATCACTATAGCACAAAAACATCCTATGTACCAGTATACAGATCTAACAGATCACTACATCATAGCAACATCCTATATACCACGATACAGATCTAGCAGATCACTACAACACAAAAACATACTAAATACCAACAATCCAAGGAATGCATAACCGTATATACCCAGAGGTGAGATAGACACCCAAATAGGTTATCCTACTCTAAAGCCAGAACTAAACAAGGAACATGCAAGAAAGCCTAGATCAAGAGTCCTCAGTCTATCCTACATGACTATATACAATCTCTATGGCATCCCTCTACTAAACGATTGTTGGGTTTTGAGCATTCTAACACTCCTAAGGTGTTCATGCAACCCTAAATACCTTGGATCTATGTTTTCACTAATTATACATGCAATGGTGTTTCCAAGGTATTAAACCTATGACTAGCATACAATTATCATATACGACACAAGAATCTAGTTAGGATAACATACATTATAGTGGAGATTGAAGTCTTGATGTATCTAGCCTTAAGAGCTTAGCCCCAATAGTGTGGAAGCCTCAAGTGGAATCACAAATCACCATCAACAACTTGGAAGAACTTGAGAGAATATGGAGCTCACTAAAATCGGCCACCCTTTCTTTCACACACACTAGTGCCAATTTTGTGAGCCAAGGACCCCTTTATATATTATGGAGGATTAGCGTTACATCCATGTAAACCCTAATACCCATGACCTTTCATTTACATAGGATCCATGGGTTAAAAGCTCCATGGACTATCCATGGACTTCCATACACTTTTAGCCCATCCTAAATAAACCTTGGCCCATTCCATATATATATATATATATATATATATATATATATATATATAGATATATATATATATATATATATATAAGAGTCCATATTTAATTAGCCTCTTTTGATCACTAAATTAATTCTTGATCAATACTAATTAAATAATATGATTTCAGATTAATATATTATAACTTATAATATATTAATAAATCATAAATATCCTTTTCTCATAACTCTATCCATATAAATTGTTCCGGTGAAGTGCAACCCAAATGGACCATGCCGGGTCGGGTCAAGTCATACCAATTATAGTTATGGACTTAGACACTAATCCAACAAAGATAACCAAAACTAATGGGCCAACCTTGGTGCCTTCGATCCATGGGTACAATGAGGCAAAACTCACCTGAATCGAAGAACCTTGAAACACTATGATACGCTTCCTTCTGCACTGCTTGCTCCTGCGAATCCGCTAATCATCACCACCAGGTAAAACCTTA